AGTTTTACTACAGACTTTCGGTGTCAGTATTTTATTCTTTGTGTCCTGTTTTTCTTGCCTTATCTTAATGACGGCAGTGACAGTATGAGATGTGGCTTGTTGGATGACTTCTTTTCCTGTTCTTTGGCTCGTCTGGGAGTATCTGGCTCCTGTTACCAGGAAAACATAGTGTGGTACAGACGTGGCTTCACACTTTGGCTCTGTCGTTTGCTAGCGGTGTAACCGTAGGAAAGTCACTGTGACTGTGTGCCTCCCTTTTCTCAACTTTAAAACAAGCAAGTTAGACTGGTCATCTCACATCCTCTTCCATCTCTAAACTTTGTAATCTTAGGAGGCAATATCCAACATGAAATGCCCATCCTCTTCTAATATGTGGAGTTCTATCCATTTGTGAGTCTTGGTGCTATTTTTATGTTACTGGCATTGTCAGTGAGCAAAGCAAAAACTTTACTGCTTCCTCTCTCCTGTTGGTTGGCACATATTTTATAACTGATGTATTTTGCTGTGTAGCTGTTTCTTTCTCCTTCTGAGCTTTTGCTTGTTTAAGGAGCTGGCTGTGCCGCCTCCCAGTTTTAGAGTTCCCCTCCACTCCCATTTGTCCATCCATCTGATGTAACACAAGACCCAGCGCTCTGTCGATTCTTCCTTGCACAGATTCCATTACCCATTCATATTCCCTCACTGAGAGAGGCTTGCTCAAAGAATGCTGCTGGGCAAATGGTATGATGGCCTAAGTAATTTGAAAACTTCCTGCAGTATGTGTTTTCCATTATTGACAATGGTGTTCCAGAAGGATATATGGCTCTGGCAAGAGTTTGGTCAATTTTTTCCTGCTCTTCAGGTGTCACTTGTGTACTAATGAAGCCCGAGAGAGTGCTTTGTATGCAGTTTGTTGGCCCAGGTGTCCTGAACGGGCCCCTCTTTGTGGCGACTCTCCTGTCTCAGGCTGTGGTGCGGCAGAGGCACAGCTGTGTGCCGAACGTCAGGAAGCTTGCGTGCTTTTTCCTCGTTGTGGCTTTCTTCTCCCGCATTTTAAAAATGCCTGAAGCCCTGGCTGGCGTAGCTCAGTGGATTGAGCGCGGGCTGGGAACCCAAGTGTCCCAGGTTCGATTCCCAGCCAGGGTACATGACTAGGTTGCAGGCCATAACCCCCAGCAACCGCACATTGATGTTTCTCTCTCTCTCTCTCTCTCTCTCTCTCTCTCTCTCCCTCCCTTCCCTCCCTAAAAATAAATAAATAAAATCTTTAAAAAAAATTATTAAAAAAAATGCCTGATAACTACCAATCAGTCTATACCTATGAGCTGGTTTTTGTTTTGTTTGTTCACTTTTTTTCCTGTCTTCTTTTGCTTTATATTCCACATATGAGTGAAAATATACAATTTTTTTCCTTTTCTGTCTGACTTCACTTAGCATAATGCCCTTAAGGTCTATTCCTGTTCTCACAAATGGCAGTATTTCGTCTTTGTGTGTGGCTGAGTAGTTATTCCATTGTATGTATGTCACATCTTCTTTATCCGTTCATCAGTCGATGAACACGTGGGTTGTTTCCATGTCCTGGCTATTGTAGCTGATGCTGCAGTGAATATAAAAGTGCATAGATCTTTTCAAACAGGTGTGTGTGTGTGTTTTAGATAAATACAGGTATCGAATTTTAATGTTGTGTACCTGAAACTTATATATACACCTAAATTTCGTATACCTATATGTGAAACTTACATAATGTTATAAACCAGTGTTACCTCAATTAAAAAATCCATTTTGAGGAAAAAATAAATAGGCAGGTACCTTGACCGCAGGTACCTGGACAGCACTTCACAGAGTCTATGTTTAAAACAGACTTTGGAAATATGTCTTTCAACCAGTAATTCTGTATGACTTTCAGCATACAAAAGTTGCTATATGTTGGCAGTTGGCAAGGGAAGAAGCCAGTGGAAATGAACAGTGCAGCAGGGTTACTCCCGGGCTAGCTGGAAACACCTTTCCAGTCACCCAGCCTCGGGAGTCCAGTGTGATGTCATGTGAGAAGACCTTAGATGACAAGGAATTCGTGTGTGGCCAGATGTAGGAACCGTGCAGCTGAAAATCAGAATTCAGAGGCATTTAAATTCCTGTTTGTTAAAAAAGGAGCATACCTCTTTTCCTGACTGCTTTGTAGATGTTAAGATTGCAAAACCAAGAGGAATTACGTTTCTACCTCTTTCTAATTTCAAAACCTCTACATCCTCTTTAACTCTCCCCTCTCTTGGGCCTTTTTTGACCAGTAAATGCCATATTATTCACCTCTCTAGGAACTGAGAAAGCTGGCTGTCATTGCCCACTTCAGGTCCACTCCTCTGAGAAGCGGTCAGGAGTACATCATTCATTGACAATAGAAGTCCATGAAAGAAAACCCACAACAAAGTAAACACAGATTCTGCCTGCTCTCTCTGGGAGCCTGAAGTGATCTCTTGTCCAACAGTTCTACCCTGTTGTTGACTCTTGAGTTTTCAAATGTCAGGTACTAGCTAGAGCAGATAGGTTAGGGGGAAATCATTCTATTACGTGATAAAGCTGAGTCACAATATAAGAGTCCCTTACTATAAATTTCGCCTCAACCTATACAAATTCATAATCCATTGTTCAAACTATTTTTAGAGAAAAGGCAGATTCGAACATTGACATCTGTCCCAGGCTTTACCTCTTCAAAGGAGACCAACACCTATGAAACAATTAAAAGACAATATAACCCACTCTATGGCTTTTGTTGTCTATAAATGCATGGAGTGATAGAAAAGGAATAAAAAAGTATTTATTGAGCATCTACCATTTCTCAGCTGTGCAAGATAGCACAGGAGGCAGGGCTGTTGGTTTGATTATGATCTGTGTGTAGAAGCAAGCCGTGACACGAAGCTACAGGGCTGGTGCGTTATGAAATGTAAAGACATGCTAAACCATGGAGCGCAGATACTCTAGAAGTTTAGGAGAGGGAAACTTCTCTGATGGGTAGAAACAGTAGGGATTTTAAGGCTTGAGCTAGAAGGAAAAGGAAACAGTGAGTAAGAGGACGAAAACGGTATGGCAAAAGCACAGAGGTTTCACAGCACACAAGCCAGCAAAAGCGCTCAAACTGAACCAGGAGAGAGGCAAGTCATAGCTGAGGGAGCTGGCTGGGGAGGAGTCCTTGGGAGGCTGTGAAAGCCTGCCAGAGTTTAGAGTCCAACTGTAGCCTACAGAGAATCAATGATGGTTTTTACAAGGGAAGTGATGAGAGCCATGTTTCATGAAGACAAGCCAAGCATTCACATTTGGGAGAGAACTGAGGGGGAAGAATGGAGAGGCAGGGAATACATGCAAGAAAAATGTTGTGGCAAACCAAGAGCAGTTTTTAGGAGCTGAGCTATGGAGGTGGCAGAGGAAATGGAGAAGGGACAGATGTGACAGCCATTGCTAAGAGGAATTGACCACACTTAGTGGCTGACTTCATATAAAGGGAAAGGAAAAAGACCATGTTTAGAAGGACTCCAGTATTTTTGATCCGATGGCCTTCAAGTAGGTTGTTGGTGGAATGATTATGCGGATGATGAATCATCTTTTATTCTTGTCGAGTCTGAGGTGACAGTGGGACAGTTAATGAAAATGTTCAGCAGGAAGCTAGAAATACAAAAATCTGAACTGTATCTCTGTTTTGCTGAGGGTAGGAAAGACAAATCACTCACATGTTAAAGTGAGGAGTGGGAAACTCACAGGTTTCCTAAAAATCAGAGGTGAGGTCAGTTTCAAGGGTAGAGTGGCAAGGAGGGAGGAAGGGAGGAAGGAAGGAAGGTATAAGGAGAGAGAGAGAGAGAGAAAGAGAGAGGCACTTTGGAATAGCCATTAGGAGGATGAGGATGTTCAACTGATGAACAGAAAGCATACTGAGCCAGATTGCATAGTTCTGTAACTTCCTCCAGCCACACCTTGCCTTCCCAGGGTTGGACAGAGGCACTAGAGTGGGAGAGTGGCACTGGATGAAGAGAAGGATAAAGGGAATCTGGAGAGGATGAATGGGATCCAGAAGACCCAGGAGAGTGTGAAGTAGTCTTGAGAGCATGAAAGTCTAAGAGGGGGAAGAGGGCAAATTATGGTCATTGGGGCATGCTAAAATGCAAAGGGACGTGGTGACCCTTTCATGGTGATGGAGGGGACAGGCAAGGAAGGGCGGCCACTCAGGTGCAGCTGTGTTGCAGAGATGTCTGTGGGCCATGGGTATTTCCCTAATATCGACTCGCTTTGCCTTTACTCTAAGACACTAAGGGAAGCCCTGCCTCCCACTCTTCTAGCTAAGAGAGGACTCCCAAGACAAATGTCCAGCAGTTGGTGGGGGGAGCAGATTTTGGAACTTGATCTGATCCACTTGCACTATTGGCTCAAAAGCTCCTGATTCGCATCAGAGATGCTTTTCTATCGTTTAAATGCCATAAACACTAACAGCAAAATAGCCCACTGGCTGGGCCTCCGCTCTCCACACCTACCAGGCCCAGCACCTGCAGCACCACTTGGAGAGGACAAGAAAGACCCATCAGCCCATGTAGGGGTGCGGGGGTGTTCTTCAAGCCTGTAGGAAAGATGGGGTGTTAGCAGAGAAGAGAGGCGAGCAAAATCATAGAGGTCCATTTGGCTACTGGAGAGACCACAGCTGAGTATCTTGCTGGGAAGTGGGAATGAAACCAGGTCATCCTCCCTCCCTTCTCCATCTGGCTTTGGGCTACAAAGAGATACCAAGCAAAGGCCAATGCATGCACACACATGCACAGAGAAAGTCAAGGAGCATATACACAGCCAATCATAGGACAGACATTTAGGTAACGAGCTTGCACACTCATAAAGGCACACTCAGGCCTGCTCATCACATGCATCCCTGTGTGTCTACACACAGTTCTTTCTTCTCCAAGGGTTCTCTTTCCAAGGAGTGCCCTGGTGTGAGTAGATGCAGGCCCCTCTCTTCCAGGCCTCATGCCTTCCCCTTTGTGTTTTTCCAGGTCGTGACATGGCGAGCACCACTCTGCCTGGTTACCCCCCTCACGTGCCCCCCACTGGCCAGGGAAGCTACCCCACCTCCACCCTGGCAGGAATGGTGCCTGGTAGGTGACAATGGTGCAGCTGCCTAATTTATATGGGGGTAACTAAATTGTGGGTGAGCTGCTGAGTGGTCTTTAGTCTGAGGCTGGGGGTGGGAGGAGACCCAACATCCCCTCCCCGCAAACCACTGCTATTCTATCCCAATCTCTTCCTAGAGCAGCAGTTGGTCCCTGACCCTCCTTCATAAGCAACTTAGGGAGAGAGCTTGCAAAAGTGTCCCTTGTGTACACCCCACTGTATGTCATGGCCCCTCCACAAGGCCTACCCACCCAAACCTATGCCCAGGGAAGCACTCAGCCTCAGCAACGCCCTCAGTGCCCCAGCCCACCCCCAGCCAGCTGACACTGCTTGGAAGAGCCTGCCCTGGTTTCCATGGAAACTTGGAGCCCAGAACCAGAGTGACATGTCAGTCACTCAGACAAAGCCACCCTGGTCCACACCAACCCACAGAGAAGACCAGTGTTAAGAACCTACCCCACCCCAGAGAAAGGAGGGACCTTGTCCCTAAGGAAAGAGGAACAGGAGGACAGGCTATGGCAGGAACCAGAGAGGCTAGCTTCAGAGAGATAAGCTACAGCACCCCCACATCTCTTCAGAGGAACCGGGCTCTCCTTGCTCCTCAGAGCTCAGACCCTCCCAGTCTGAGAGCAGCTGGGTTACGCTGTGTGGATTGGAGAGGCAGAGGCCGCATTTAGGGTCTGGTAGGGCAGCTGGAGCTTGAGCTCTTCCCAACCCCTCACCTCCCATTGGGAGCCAGACTTGAAACCAAAGAGAGGTGAAACTCCTACTTGTGTAAACACCAAAAAACTCTTGTCTCAGAGAGAGTGAGACTCACTGAGCCTGCACCACTCCTGTGGCTGCCTTCTTGGGTGCCCCTTCCCTGAAGCTCAGCTCTCATGGGAGGAGGGTGGATGGAAAATGGTGCCTTGCACCATTCCTGGAGGGTCTGTCCAGGGACAGCCCCCATAAGCAAAGTTGGGGGAGGGGCATGGTGAAGAGGGCATTGCTGCAGGGTGTGGTAGAACAGGGGCTGAAGGGAGTGAGAGGAACTGGGGAAGGAGAGCTGAGAGGCGTGAGTGAGGGCGTCTACCCAGATGTGGGGCAGGGGGAGTAGAAGTGTTGGGGGCAAGGAGATTTTTCCAGGAAGGTCCCAGCCTTGAGCTGGTGGAGGCTGGAGAAGGTCTTGAAGAGATGGGGTGAGGGAGGGGGAAGTCTGTAAGGAGGTGGGGATGAGAGGAGCGCAGAGAGCTCATGGTGGCAAGGGGGGAGTCGTTAAACAGAATCTAGTGCTGATGAGGAAATTACACTTGTTTCATTAGCGATGGAGAAGGAGATAGCTCAGTTCCTCTTGGTCACAGTTGAGCTCAGAAGCTCATTATCCTGCTGCACGCATGCTTTCCCTCCTCGTCAATAAACAGGCTTTCCAGTGGCTGCATCCCCCACCCCCACCCAGCTCCCTCTCCGAAAGGGGCCCCTTCTCCTCTACTTAACCCGCGGTTAGGGATCACTGTAAACAGTCTGGGGTCATCACACAGGAGAAAGGGTGAGGGGGAAACCCGGAGGCCTGGCCTTTCTCCCGCGGAGGGAATGAAACAGCTTCCGAGAGCTCCCAGCCCACGGGTGGCCCCCACTGACTGACCCTGGGGGGCAGTCCACCTGCTCCCTGCCACCTCCTTCACCTGCTGCGTGGTGCATGAATGGAACCCCTACAGGGAAAGGTGATGGGGGGGTTTCCCAGCACAGCCCAACCCCTTTGCTTTGGCACAGTGCTGAGATGCCATTCTTAGGACTTTCTGGGACAAAGTGTCCCGAGAGCCTTTCTTTGCCACCCCCCCCCCCCGCTTCCACCCTGTGGGGCTACGGCTCCCAGAACCTGAGTCTCCACTAAAAAAACCCTGTCCGCCAACGCAGCGGGGTAGTCGTGACTGGACCCGGAACAAACCCCTCCTGGGTAGGCCAGGCACCTCCGCGGGAGGAGCCCCAGGCAGGCACTACCCCACAAGTCCCTCCACGCTTCTGTGCGAGGCTCATGGGTGCTTCTGCATCCCCGGATACACACACACCACCAGCTCTCCCCACGCTGACTGCGTGGATTGCTCCGCTTTCGCCTGGCCCACAGCCTGCAGCGGGCATTGCCCTGCCTGCCCCACCTGCACCACGACCGGGGGGAGGCTGCTGGTCTGGCACATCAGGTCCACCTCGGAGATGCATGTATCTGATCCCCACACCCCCACCGTCCCGCAGGGAGCGAGTTCTCCGGCAACCCGTACAGCCACCCCCAGTACACGGCCTACAACGAGGCTTGGAGATTCAGCAACCCCGCCTTACTAAGTGAGTACGCCACCTGGCTGGCCGGCGGCTCAGCGCGTCAGCTCGCCCCTGCTCGCCCCGCTCACGCTGGCTGCTTCTGGGCGCGCCCGACTGACTCCCAGCCACCTGACTTTTGGGTGCCAGCCGGGCAAGACGTTTAGCGCAGCACTGAGGCCCGGGATCCCTTGAGGACGCCCGTGCCTCCTGCCCGTCCTTCCTCTCTTCTCCCTCCCCGTCGCTGAAAAGCCCTGCACCACCCCCACCTCAGCACCCTTGGAGGGTCCATAATCGGGCAGCGGTGGTCTCCGATTGGGTCCCTCTCCCACCCGGTGAATGCAGCTCTCCTGGGGGCAACCAGCCCCCGAAGCCCAGCCAAGGTCTTCCTGCCCCGTCCTGCCAGACCCGAGCCCCGGGAGGTCTTTGCTTTTCTTTCCTTTTTTTGTTCTCCTGTTTGTCCTCTCACCCAGCCCATTCTTCTCCTGTGTTAACTTCCAGGTTCCCCTTATTATTATAGTGCCGCCCCCCGGGGCTCCGCCCCTGCCGCTGCTGCCGCTGCCTATGACCGCCACTAGTTACCGCGGGGACCACATCAAGCTTCAGGCCGACAGCTTCGGCCTCCACATCGTCCCCGTCTGACAGCCCACCCCGGAGGGAGGGAGGACCGACTCCACTCGAAGCTTCCTGGCCACCGCCCCAGCCCCACCCCACCCCAGGACACCTGCAGCCCTTCACGTCAACCCCGTGGAAGGCTGGACAGGACTAGTGGAGCCACGGGCCGGACCCTCAGGCCCCAGCCCACTACCCCGAGTCCCGCCCGCTGCCCCTCCCTGCCTGCCTGGACTTCGAGGTGCGGTGCGTCGAGGACGACCCGACCCGGCTTGCCCTGGCCTCACGGAGCCCAACAGAGCGGACCAGCCACATCTCCGGACTCGGGCCGGGCGGCCGCTGTGCGCGGGGACACGTTTCTGTGACACACAATCAGCACCGACTGCAGCTCGGCCCAGCCCTGGAGCCGCCGACTCGGATGCTCCGGCGCAGGAGGCCTCGCTGGAGGGACTGGGCAAAAGAAATTAAGGACAAAATGATTTTCTGCAAAAGAAGGAAGGGCCTTCTGCTGAACCCTTGAAACCTCGGGGAAAAGTCCTTACCCCCGCGCCAGCCGGACTGCCCCCACCTTCCGAGCGGAGTGTGCCCTGCCCCAGAAGGTGGAATGGAATGGGGGCATGGGGGGTGGGCTCTAGGGACAAAGGTTGGGGTCGTTAAGTCTTTCCAAACTTGGAACCCAAGACACACAGGCCCCAGCAGCCTGCACCCGCAGAGCCAGACTCTTGGCTCTTCCCTACTCTGCCAGAACTGCCCGGTTCCCCAGGGCCCAGGCGCCTCCTACTAGTGACGAGACTCTCAGCCCCACCTCGCCCCTACCTCAGCGTCTCTGCCATCTGTGACCTCCCAGTCTTCCCTCCTGCCAGTCCTCTTCCCATCCCACGTCTCTCTGCATCGCTCCTCCCTATATCTCGCCACCCCGTGGGAGGCTCTCCGGTGCCTGCCTGCCGTGGGGCCAGCTTCCATAGGCCGTGTGCACCGGTCTTCCCCAGCGGTTACTTGACGTCCCTCACCCGACACAGACTCTCGATCTGCCGGTGGCGGGAGCAGGTTCTGAGCTGGCATCTGAGCTGCGGGCGGGGTGAAAGTGGGGGGCCGTCCACTCCACCCCCAGCCTCTTCCTCCGGCAGGAACTGAACAGAACCGCAAAAGGTCTACGTTTATTTAATATGATGGTCTTTGCAAAAAGGAAAAAACGACAAAAACCCAACACGCTGCTGCTTTGTAGAAAGATGGTGTGTGTCGTGCGAAGGCGAACCCCTCTGTATATAACCCCGCCCCGTCTGCCCCGCCCCGCCCCGCCCCGCCCCGCCCGGTAGAGTCCCGGACGCCCGCCCGCCCGCCCGCCCGCCCTGCCTGTAGATTCGCCCCGCTCTGTGCTGTGAGAGTCGCCGCTCGCTGGGGGGGAGGGGGGGACACAGCTACACGCCCACTAAAGCACAGCACGTCCTGGGGGGAGGGGGGCATTTTTTATGTTACAAAAAAAAATTACGAAAGAAAAGAAATCTCTATGCAAAACGACGAACATGGTCCTGTGGACTCCTCTCTGTTTTGTTGACTACTTCTCTGTAATTCCGTGTTTTCGCTCTTTCGTTCTCTCCTGCCCATGTCTCCCCTCTCTCCGTCTCTCTCTACTTCTCAGCCTCTGCCTCTCTCCGTCTCTGTCTCTGTCCCTCTCTCGGCCTCTCCCCCCAGCCCGGCCCCGGCCGCCCTGCCCTCGCAGGCTAGATCAGAGGTGGCAGCTCCACCCCCGGGCTTGTCCCCTCTCGGCTGTGCCCCGTGCGCCCTGGGCCGCCGGCGGCCGGACCGCCCCGCCCCGTAGTTGCTCTCTCGGTAGCGGCGATGCGCCTTTGCATGTCTCCTCACCCGTGGATCGTGATGACTCGAAATAACAGAAACAAAGTCAATAAAAGTGAAAATAAATAAATAAAATCCTTGAACAAATACGAAAAGGCTTGGAGTCCTCGCCCAGATCTCTCTCCCCTTCCAGCCTTTTTATTTGAAAAGGAAAACGAGAACAGAGAACAGTTTAAGGGAACTGCCGGCGCCCAGCCAGGCTGCAGTGGCCCGAGCGGGGCGGCGAGGGCGCCGAGGTGCGAACTCCCAGGCCCACCCAGTCCTCGCGCGGCTGGCGGGGCAGGGGCACCAGAGCCAGGAGCCGGCCGAACCCTCGAGAGAGCCCCTGATAGCTCTGGTCTCCTTGGCCACTTTAAGCGCGTCGGTTCGTTTTGATTCTTTTCTTTTCTTTTTCTTTCTTTTTTTCTTTTTTTTATTGTGCACATGAGAAATAAATAATAATAAATAATAATAAATAAATAATAATAAAATTTTGTATGTCACTCCCCATGGCTCCAGGTTTGTCTCTCCCGGTCTCTGGGCCAGGCCTCCCCTCACACTGGTGGATCCCAAGTAACCCCGTCAGTGATCCCCCAATTACACTCCCTCTGCCACCCCCTCCCACCCCCTTACCTAGAAACCTCTCGGAGGCAGCTGAAAGCAGGCAAAGACCCAGACCAGAGGGCCCTTCGATAGCCACCCTCCCCGCCCTGCCCCGCCCTTGGGGCAAGAAGGTTTCCAAAGCTCCAAAAAACTTCGAGTTACACATCTATACCAGGCCGATACAGTCGCCCTGCCTCTCCGCCCGCGTTCGGATTTTGGGTGTAAACTCTCAAAACTCGACGTCGAGGCCCTTTCGAGACGGGGTAGCGGGGGTGGGGGGGGGGACGATTGTTTGCTGTCCTGTGTTCTTTCTCTGCACCTCTGCGTAGCCGCAATTTTATCCCACGAGTCTTCGCGGAGACCGCGGAGACCGCAGGCGTTTGTCACAAATTTCCTCGCTGCTCCTGTAGTGCCGCGCACGCACAGCGCCCAGCTCCGCCGAGACTCCGGCAGATCCTGCCGGCTCACGGGACCTCGCGCGCCCCCTGGGTCTTGCGGAGCCCCGGGCGCTGGCGAGCAGCAACCCAGATTGGTGTGGTCTGGGTGTGTCCCTGAGAGGAAGCACCGGAGTCTGTCGGTCGGTCAGGGTTTCCATTTCTGCTCGACCTCGTGGGTCTATATGTCCCTGGCTAGGCAGGCCCGGGAGTGGGGAAGTGGGAGAACTGTTTCGTTTTTCAGACACTCTAACTGAGTGCCCTCTGCGTTGAGCTCAGAGGGGCCAGTGAAGGATCTGTCTGCCTTGTGTCTCTCTTCCTGTTTGCGGGGAAAGACGGAGTGATTGCCCAGGATTACCCAGGATTACCCAGGCGGCATTGGAAGGGGTCCCCTCTCTGTTCCTGCAGCAACCTCTCAACCCCAGCCCTCCCATAGATATTGCAACCTTCACCTGGTCTCCACCCTTGGAGACTTCCCTTCTCTGCCCAGGGAAGTCTTCCCAACTCAGCTCTTAGTTGGGCCTCCTTCCACGTGGAAGGTTGTTTTTTTTTTCTTAAGATTTTATTTATTTATTTTTAGAGAGAGGGGAAGAAGGGGGGAAAGAGAGGAAGAGAAACATCAATGTGTGAGAGAAACATCAATCGGTTGCCTCTCGCAAAATCTCGAAGACCTGGCCTGTTGCCCAGGCATGTGCCCTGACAGAGAATCCAACCTCCATGGTGTCAGGTTGCAGGAGAAGGCCCAATCCACTGGGCCACTCCAGTTAGGGATGGAAGGTTCTCGATGCACTGAGGTGCCAGGGATGGTTGGGGACAGGGGCTGCAAGGAGGACCTGCAGACAGACTAAGGAGTGGACTTTCCCTCTTGGCTGGGGGCAGTGTGTTCCAAATGCCTCCTTCCCTCCAGGATCCCCAGGGACCTTTCTCCAAACTTGCTTGCCCAGCCTCACCCTCTGTGGCGCTTCAGGAGGATACGCAGCTTCCCCAACAAAGCATCAAGCCCCTAATTAGTCCATCCCCTTTCCTCCTCCTTCCTTACCTGTGCCCTCCCTGCTCCTCATCTCAGCAAATGGCAATCCCGCTTTGCACCCTGCTTGGCACTGCCTCTCTTAGCTATGGTTCTCCTACAAGGGTGGTCTTCCCAGTTGTTTTTCCAATCATTCATTCCGTTAGTAGAAGGAATTCTGAACATGTACACCTAATATAATTATACATTTATTTAAAAATTTACTTATTTATAAGTTCCATGAATGTACTACTGAACTAATATATTATGAATTTTATAAGACATAAAATAGTAAAAGGGTGAGATTGGAATACACAGACATAGAAGTTCTAATGTTCTCTAAAATAAATGGATTATCTTGTACCCCTGCCACCACCTCTGCCCCAGGAAATTACACCTCACTTTGGAGATCCTGCTCAGAGCCCATGAAAACCCAGCATGGCAGATCTCCTGACTACTGGCTGATGCCCAGCAGATAAGTTTCTGGAAGTTGTCAGGGCACTGGGCTGGCCCAGGCAGTGGTGCCCTCATCACATGTAGCTGGCTACCTGGCTTTGCCTCCAGGTGCCCCCAGGCTGGGAGTGCTTCTTCGCCTAACACATCAACTCAGGAGTCAGAGCCTCCTGCCTGGTTTCTACTAGAGTTCCTTACCTTATGTTCTATTTCTGGTCTCCTCATGCCAAATCGGGCAGTGAGAGTCCCACTGTTGACAGTGACCACCTCTGTTCAGAAGCTTTCATGCTGTGTTTCTCTTGAAGTGCTGGTTTCTGCTTAGAATCAGCTGGAGAGTCCCCAAAATATGTTCTATAGTCCTTGAGCAGTTGCCTGTTCTAACCGAAGCCCCATAAGCACACGCCAAACATAAACAGAGCCTGTTCTCCATAATTCACCTGATGCTGACTCTCCTACTCCCATCCCCATCCCACGCTCACAGCTGAGGTACACCATGTACGACAGTTAGGGACAGGTGAAGAAAGGTGCCCTGGATTGAAGGAATAGCAGGAACAAAGACGTGGAGGCATCAAAACATGCCAGATGGAATGTGGCTGGAGAATCAGGTGCCTAGGAAGAGACAGAGGGGATGCAGGAGGTGGCAGGAGATGAAGCTTAAAAATAGTTGAGAGCAAGGGCACTGTGACAGAAATGTCAAAACAGCATTCATCACTTACACGGCTTCTTTAAGGAAGCTGCCCCACTCAGTGCCCTCCTGCCCATGTAACCACCATATTTGTGCCAATGACTCCAAACTGAACCAGTCAGTCCCCTTTTCTCGGGACACAGCACGAGGAAGTATGGGGAGAATGAGGCCATTAACCACTAGCGGCAAAGCCCAATGGAGATCCTAAGGGGATTTCCCAGTCTTCCTCATCTCAGTCAAGGCCAGCTTTATCTGCCTTAGATCTTCCCTGATTGCTTCTACATTTCCCATCCATACCTGATCCACCACAAAACTAGCCAGCTCTGCCTCTAAAATATTGTATTGGCCAAAAATATTTAGTTTTTTCCATATGATGGCTCTAGTAGTGCTTAGGTGCCTTCAACTTTATTCAAAACAATTCCGTTAGATTGTCTTGTGACAATTGTCATATCAGCGTGCATTAAAAAAATCAAATTGGTAAATTTTGTGCAGCCATTTTTATATTGAGGATGAAAGAAGATATGCAACATTCTTGGAATATTATGCATTATTATTTCAAAAAAGTAAAAATGAAACTGAAATACAAAAAAAAAGATTTATGCAGCATGTGAAGAAGGTTCTGGGACTGATCGAACATGTCAAAAGTGGTTTGTGAAGTTTCTTGGTACTACTGACATTTTGGCTAAATAATACATTGCCGTGGGGCTGTCTTATGCACAGAAAGATGTTTATCAGCACCCCTGGCCTCCACCAACTAGAAACCAATAGCCAACATACTCAAAATATCCAAATCTTAGTTATTGGTGAAAATGAAAAAGTGTCTTTCATGTTACGGAAAAAAACTAAATGGACTTTTTGGCCAACCCAACAGATTGAGAATTTGACCATTTCTGAGGACTTGCACTGTACTGTCCCAGTCCAATTCACCATGATCCTTCACCAGGATTTGAAAAAAAAAAGTTCTAATTGGTCTTCCTATTTCCATCTTTACCCCACTCACCCCAGTCTATTCTCCCCCCAGCAGCAGAGTGATTCTCCAATGTGTATAGCAGATCGTGACCTGCTTCTGCTCAGCGGTCTCCAGTGGCTCCGCTTTTCCATCAGAGTCAGAATCCTAAAGCTGATCTACAAAGCCCCACATGTTTTGGCTGTCGGCCCTCCCACCCTCACCCTCCTGACCCCCACCACCACTAACTCACTTCCCACTACCTCCCCCAGCTCACTGTGCTCTGAGCCCATTGGCCTCTGTGCTTCAGTTACACCAA